CAGAAAAGCGGTTCTCAGTGCCCATATTGAAAGCATTAGACTAGTAGTAACAAGTCTTCCTGGCAGGAATCCCGAATTCGAGTGGACTTTGTTCATTCTCCGCACCTGCGGATATCGAACTTGCGATTCTTGCGACTTCAACGACGAACGCGTCAATCGGCTGTGCCAAAATTAAGGGCAACTATGACTTGAGACCAAAATGACAATCAACATGTGGAGACGACAGCTCCAATTGATTAAATCGAGAATAAGGAGCTGATGCGTCTTCTCTGACGCAAATAGAAAACAAGGAAAGAGCCGAAGAAAGTAGAGCCTCGAATGAAATGCTTTATTCAACAATTAAATCAGGTCCCGAAAATGCAGATAGACGTTTGTTCGCACAAAACAAAACAAAACAATGCAAATTGAAACTGGAGTTTATTCACATTGAAGTAAACTACCACCACCTGCTTGGAGTTCTTTGAAATACATGCACACATGGCACTGTTTCCACATGGCGATTACTCACACTCAAAAGGAGAATAATAAAGTCGTTTCAAGTTCAAGGTTGACCATCGAATAGTACTAGGCCCGATTTCCAGTACAAAAGGGAAATGGCTTTGGTGGAAAAAAAAACTGACATAGGCTTTCGAATTCACGGACTATATGAGGAGAATGGTTGGGCAAACTTCAATACTGGGCTGGAAGTTAAGATCGATGAAAAGGAGGTAACTTGTATCATCCATCGTAATACTTTGTTCTTAGGAAATCTTCAGAAAATGAGCCGAATGTGAAGGGTAAACATAACACCCCCGCCCTCGCCGCCCAAATTGAAGGAAATCTTGTTTTAACACGTAAACTGAGTGGACATGATATTGAAGAAACCCATTGAACAATATCAATCAATCAAATAACACAGTAGCCAAATTAGGTGGTCAATTCTGAGGGTGCGATAAATAGTTACTACCATTTAGAATAGGATGAAGACCAGGCCAAATTCGTTACTGAATGAAATAGACAAAATAGAACACACTTGAAAACTCGGACGTGATATAATTCTACAGTGGTAATCAGTCTTCATCTAATTACAGAACCCATATATTGTAAATATCATGTCAAGAAAAAGGAGACTTGGCGTGGTAATTACACCTCGGTGAAATGAAGCTTGTAAGGGAAGTGGAATTGAATTTTGCAACCTCATGAACAGTCATTGGCATTGAAACCCGATTGTCCATTTAACCCAGTTTTCTAACAACTGAATATTGAATTTCACGACCTACACATATCTCTCTTACAAGTTTGCTGCTGATCTATAATAGGTCTAGAGGTTAACGCCTCCCTTTCCAGGCAAAGGCCTTCATTTCAACCCCCCCCCCATCTAACCCGTAATTATCTGGAAAAGTCTTGGATAGAGGCAGATTCTTGTCCATCCAAAGTTTCTCTCGATAAAATTTGAGACTAATATCTGATTGTCGGATTTGGGAATTGCCCACTTGGCATTAGACAAGTATTGTAATCTGATCCCATGCAATTACTCATATATGTATACATACGTTAGCTGGAGAGTTGTGGCTCGGGGATTGTGACGAAAGGACTCCAGGCTTAGGAGTTAAACAACAGCGCGTTGATAATAAAGACGATAAAGATTGAGTAATTTCGAATTCCATTATCTGCTTAACACCGGCGCAGAATCCATGTTTATCAAATCCGCGTTTAAGATTCCATAGGAATACAAAGATTTTGTACAAATTGTGCTCGACATGGACGTCTTACACTAACCTCACACCACTTCTTCATCACAAAGTGGTAGACTACCAGATGAAGAAAATTAATGCCATTTCGAATGAGCAAATTATGAGAAAAACACTCGTTGGGAGAGAGAGAGAACAAAGGCTGTATTTCACATTTAGCTAATGGCTTAGACAGATTAAGGAAGGTGTACATTTTAAACACCGTGTGGCTTAACCACAGTTGTTTTAGCCAAAATCAAGGCATTCAGTTCCATGTGGATCAGATACTTGATCGTTAGAGAGAGAGACCCAGACAGTCAGATTGATTTATTTATTTTAACTTACTCATAAAGATGATTTACGACCGAAAAAAACTGACAGGAAGACGCGTTACCAGTAATCCACCACTACCACCACCACCACCACCACCACCACCACCGAAGTTGGACAGTCAAACACGCAGCACATATGTGAAAATTTGAAAAAAAAGTGAAAACAAATTCTCACAAGCAAATTTTAAAACTCCCACGAAGAATACAAAAAAAACCAGAGAAACGCACAACCCTTCACACACACACACACACACACACACACGAAGGTAAGGCGTGAATGGATGGGAAAAAAATACGAGCCAAGAAAAGCCAACAATTTGACCAAAGACCGAATATTCAGGCGCATGCAATACAGGCGGCAATTAGTTTTCAGTCCTGAAGACTAACACTCAATATTTCCTTCAAACCGAATGGAACGCTTTTGGCAAATGACGATATTAGATTTGAGAGAGAGAGAGAGTTTTCAATTTAAGAGACGCACGAAGAACCAAAGAAGAAGACAAAAAACCTGACGACGCATCTACTAGACACGAATGTGAAACAGCGCTATCTAGGATCGGTTCACCAACAAGATTTCAACGTGAAATCTCGCTAGTGTGATAAATGACATGCCTTGGGCACCCCCCTTTTGTGGAAAATAATGCCCATTTTCTCGCAAGCACAAGCAAGACTCGCCAAGCCTAGTTGTGTGCTAAACAAACACAAATGATAACTGATAAACCGAAAAGAGAGCTATTTTAGGCGAATGCACCTTAGTGCACAAGTTCAATGAATTTACTACATTGGTGGTTAAGACCCCATAGTCGTCATCCACGTGCCATTAATTCTAAGACATTTGAAATAGGGCAAAGATGAAATGGATAGGCACCGAGCGCTTTCAAGTGTGAAAAGTCGAAATCTACTAGATCGCACTTATTATAAATCCACCCGATAAAATAAACGAGTCGTTATTGGCCTTCTAAGGTAGCAAATAAGATGTGCATTCAACAAAAAAAAATACTCCTTATTGCGCACGTCCAATGGCGTACAGCACCTTGGAGTAACTGCACTTCTGCTTTGAAAGTCTTTCTGGCTCGTGATACCAGCGGTATTTAGTTGAGAGGGTAGGTTCAAGTACCGTAAGTCCAGCCTCAAAGCAAAGCAGCGTAACACTGTAGATCTTATTTTAGGAAGATGGTGCTAGGCCAATTGTGTGCTGCCAGGATACTAAATTCCCTGACGCAGTAATTCTTTCTGACTCGCTGTCAGCAACTGGAAACAGAGAACCACCCAGAACAGCTGAGAGATACAGCTGGGATGCAAAAAACGGCATCAGTTGGTCAAAGAGAAACAAAACAAAAGTTCTTCAATGGAGACCCGGACACTGTGGCATTAGCGCTGACCACAATTTTGCAAACTACATACCGGCCAATATCCTTCCACACAATGAAGCCCCTAATCAGGAGAGAATTCAAAACTTTAAGAAGCAACGAACTTAAAGCCCGAACAATGGGGAAGCATTGGACAGTGACACTCTCCGACACAGCCGACTGGCCAAGAATCGAAGCTGTTGGAGAATGTAGACTACGTATCGGACACGGCTGCCTGACGAAACACCTTTTCACAATAGGCGTATACGCTCAGCAAGCATGCCCACTCCTATGCGACCTACGGGAGGAAAGGGAGAAGACATCCACCTGATATGACGTCCAGTCCTACAGACGACAGAAACCTAGAGATAGCTGGAAGCCAGAAATCAACTAATGGGCTAATGATAAACAATCGTAAAGCCTGCCATTTGATATACATTATAGAAAAAAAACGTACAAATAGTACGTCCGTTAGTAGACAAAATCAGAGGCGAGGAAACGAATTCCTAAGCTCTACGAATGCCCAAAAGAGGCAAATTTGCTTTACAGCCACACCAAGCATTTTGATGATCCACTAATTCATCATTGCCGAAACTCCAATGCTGATAGGTTGGTCCATTAATGCCAATTAAATTCAGACACTAAGATACCAATCTTGCATGGAAAAAAGGGCATCCGTCAGGACGACTTGTCAAGCATAGGTGTGTGTACAAGTCACGCACACAAACATTCTTCAACCGTGACAAGAGGGAGAGCGAGAGAGGGACTAAAAGGTGACTAAGACTCCAACCGCCTTGCCTGCCGCTCGTCGTCCTGTCCTCAAAAAAGACTCCATCAATCAGAGGTCGTCTTTTTTGCCCTCAAATATATCCGCCGCCTTAAGGACAACAACACTTTAACGATTCAGTAGAGACCGTCTTTTCTCCTAAGGGATTCTGTCACTATATATATATATACATTAGAAGATTATTAACAACAGTGGGTTATTAATGAACCCCCTGGCGAGTAGGTTGGACGGATGGACGGCCGGCGAAGTCTGCTGACATGAATCACTGAAGCATGTGAAAAAGAGGAAGGCTTCACGATTAAGAACTATGAGCTAATTACAAGACTTTAATAAGGGAGTTTGAGTAAAGCGAAGAGCACTCTAGTTAAATGAAGGGAGACCGCTTAACGACACCCATCTCGAATAGAAAAAAGAGGAGCATCAAGGAGCCCCCCCCCCGCTGGTAGGAAACTGGAAGTCTTCTGCCCCACTCCTTCAATTAGCCAGACTTAAGCATTCCGTACACTGGGTATGGGCACTGATGAACATTGAGACAGACACCTCGGAGTTGGCAAAGGAGATCATTTACCACTGGACCACCGATGCACAAAGCCATGGGTAACGATCTCGACAAACGTGAAGGTTGACTGCTACGCCAGTGACAATAGGATTTGACGGGATAACATGAGTGTTAAGCTATGTGGAAACCATCAGAAAAGACAGGAAGCTCTTGAATTGAAAAAGAGAATAACCATACCTACCTATTACAACTAGACTAAAAACGAACTAAACCAGTAAGCAATCAAATGATCCCTAGTTATTAGCGATTAAGGAGTGAAATAAATTATGAGAAACGGAAATAAACTTGCGTCTCTTTAATGGCATCTCCACTATCAAGAATCTCTTCAAACTGTACGGGCTGGTAGCGTAATTGGAAAGTGTGATTCTGATGATGGGATTTCCGATGGTTAAACAGCTCCATAATCTCAACCTCATTTTCTTCATTCGAAGATCCAGAGGAAGAGTAATCATCCGCCATTACACAACCCCCACCACTGCGCATCCAGAGATGTCGAAGAAGTTCGGGTTCGTTGTGGATATTGTGGGGGAGGTGGATTTCAGAGGGGAAGTCAATCACTTCATTAATTACGTCCGAATCTGCGCTGCTGTCGTCGTCGTCATCATCTGATGAGACGTCTTCCGATGTTGTGGAATCACTCTCAATATCGTTATTGTCGTCATCTTCAGTGTCATCTGCATGTCTGTCATGCTCGGGGAACTAGAAGGAAAATTCATGCCATTACAAATAAAAACATATATCATTAAATTCGATATTTGTCATTTGAAAAAGCCGTTGAAATGAAATGGTTCACCCCAAATTCTCCGCCACTTTTTATAGAATGGTGAATACTAGCGATGTACATCTGGTAAGGTAGGGAGAACAGAGAGATGATAGACGACCTAGTCGAGAAGCTTGTTCAGGAGAGACACCTGATTTC